TTCCGTACGGCTGTATATCGTCTAACGAGTGTCTCTTGTGCCACTCTGACCATATGTCCCAAGAATAGCACTTATAACGTCTTGAATTCGGAGGAGTGACTCGTCGATGCATCGACAGTAGTGTTTCGCAGTATTTCGAGCCTTATCACGTCTCAGCAGTGGTTCGAGGGAACTTAGCATGTTTTATTGCTTTCTTATATTTGAGTATATTATCTGGATATGTGCATTGGTAGCCCCTGCTGGAGATTCGAGAAAAATAGTGTAATTTATCCCAACGCAAGATATTCCTTCTTCAACCAAGTTATTCTCGTTAGGGATGCACCACGAACGCAAATCGATGTTCTACCTTCTTGAGCGTCTTTTGGCGCGTTGTTGCTCTATGGTTCGCGAAGCCAATTTCCCGTCTGAATTGTGAGGTCCAAACAACGTCCAAAACATTGAGGAATGCATGGCAAAGCGTGATATGGTGAGTTTTTTTCGCTATCCGCTATTGTTGCCGTTAAGGCTTATTATGAACCCTAAAACGGACGGTTAAGGAGGCTCTGTTTAAAGACAGCTGAGGACCAATTACCCTTTCAGTGGGCTTATGTTTGATTACAAAATCCATTTAACTTTTGTCAGTTGACCTGATTTTTTTGGTAACTGACCCGGAAACTTCACTAGCTATGTGTTTCAATCTCGGTAAACTTCACAGCGGAATAAAGTGTCTCTCAGTGCTAAATATAGAACACAGTTTGCCACGTGGAATGTATGGACGTTAGCTATGTTTGACCGACTACACTGGTTGCAAAAGAACTGCGTCGAGTGTGAATAGAGGTAGCTGCAATATGAAAGACGCACTTTTGTGGCAAGCGTTATTATCATTGGAAATTGTAGCTTCTGTTGCACAGTGGCTCCCTTTTCTGGTTTGTCCTTGATTACAGAAGCCGTACAGAGTTTATCATATGGATTAGATATTATTAGTGCGAAATATTGAACGCAGTTTACTGTGTGGCCCGTGCTAACGTTTAACATTACCTGGACAGATTAAACTAGTGGCACAAGAATTGAGCCGAATAGGAATATCTGCAGTACGAGAGACGCACTGATGAAAATTTCCTGTTTTAAGCGTAATGTCTGACCCAGCAGTGTTATGCGAATGACATCCTAATATGCGAAATGAACCTGAAGTTCGTCACTGATACACTCAGAAAAATTCCGCGTTCTCTTTTGTATCCTTCGGTTGTTGCATAACCAGGTATAGCCTGATTTGCAGTGGCTGGATGTCGAAGCGTACAATGGGTGTTTCTCGTCATTCAGAATTCAGGGACCAAAACAGACTTTGAGTAAATGCTTTGTTCGCGATGATGTTAGCTATTTTGGCGGCTGTGGATTCGATAATCCCCTGTCGCTGTTATCTGACGTGTAGACCATATATATACATTTTTTTGATAGAAATTATTTTACATTTAAGGGCAAATATGGTGCTTGCCTTGCGGACCTTTTCCACACTGCGGCATTTGCTACGACCTTCTCGAAGATTGTCGTCATCGACTTCAACAGGTGAGCTTTTGGCCGCGACAAGGAATTTTCTTCGTGTAATGAGTTTTCCTTAGTTGTACAGGAAACGATGGACGCGGTTTGTTTAATCGGAATTAACCGACCCGAAAAGCGCAACGCGATCGACTACGAAACGTCGAGGCTTTTGCTGAAAGCCTTCGAAGCGTTTCATAAAGACGACTCGCTCCATGTTGCAGTGCTTTACGGCAAAGGTAACGCCAAGGCATTCTTTTAGGTTTTTGTTACGTTGTACTCGCTGATGGCAGAGTCAGACACATGGTCCCAAGCGTTTCACGCCAAGCACTTGTACTTCTGTGGTCGTAACATCCTATGAGGTAATGAGGTTAGGAACGACCAAACGAGAATGAGAGTCTGTTCAGAAAGTTTAGGAAAACTGTCGGAAAATGCAAGAGAAGGGCGGCAAGAGGAAGAATCATAGTATTGTCGAAATACGTTTTTCTTCCTGTTTTCCTCCGCATACCTTCGCCGGCATTGCAAAGAACGCGATAATGCGACGATGCCAACTTTTTGGCTTAGTATTCTGCTTCAGCTGCATGTTCTTGCTATCGGCTTGCCCTGGCAATTTAGAAATTCATTTAGCTTCAGTTTTGAAAATTATTCGCGAACAAACACTAATTAACAGTAAACAGTTGGCAAGCAGTAGACAGTAACGAACCGCGGAAGTTAGTCTTTATTGTTGCGGAACATTCGCAACTCTTAGAATAATGTTCCTTTGTCAGCATGCTGCAAACGATATTAAATATGCATCATGCAGTACTAAATTGTGTACAGTTATCCTGAATAACGTAAAATGAGTTAAACAAGTATTTTAAAATAGTGTTGTTAATGATTTTTACCAGTAGTTTCCAGCGTGGTGAAATGTTTTGATAGCTTATTTCGCCGTGAACTCAGTCACCATTGTAGTCTTTAAGGAGCCTGGATTTGCATATTTATAGACCGATTATTGTGTTATCCCAGTCTAAGATCCTGGAGTGTATGCTTTCGATGGCGGACTGATTTTAAATAGCCTATTTTATGATTGTACAGAGGTCTTTTCCCTTAGCAGACACTGCCATTTGGTCTGTTAGACGGTGTTGACCCTTCTTTGTATCTCTGCGATGTAGAAGGGTTGCAGTTTTGATATCTCATACAGTATGCTGCCCATTTTTATTCAGTTCTCTTACTATAGAATGTTGCCCATGGTAGTGCATTTCTTCTAGCAAGCTTGAATCCGAGCCGAATGAGATTGCGTTTATTGAGTGATAAAAGGAATATGTTAATCGGAGTAAAGGCGATATGACAATTAGAGGAGGCGAGGCAAAATAAATGATGGAATAAAAATTTTTATAACAGTTCTATCTAAAACGTTTGCCGGGTTTGAAATTTCTTCGTGACAAACATGTATCATTACAGTACGCTTGCGCGTCATTACATGTTGGTAGTAATATATCTTAGATAATAGGAGGCAATAAAGGAAGCAATAGCAACCTGTTACATCTACTGCAGTGCCGCTGCATAAAAATAGTCAACTTTCTTCGTCTGGAAACAGTAAAATATACAGTTTATTTATGCACAACGCAAACAGTATGGCCAGTTGGATAATTGACGAGTACCGGTGTTTCGGCCGATGTTTCACGGCCCTTTTTGAAGGCATAGGGATAGATCAGCTTCGTAAGGCTTTTTGTCGTTCGCATCAGTTCGTTCATTAAGAGCCAAAAGGCAAGCGAAGTGCATGCTTCTGGCTAACTAGTTTCTTGACGACAGAGGCGACAAGGCTCGTCCAATCCTAGCAGAGTTTGTATCCGTTATTTCGGTTGAGTTGTTACACGACTGAAGGATTAATGTCTCGTTGACGACTTTCCTTGATTCTGCTATTTACTTTGTTCCGCAGTTAAATCGTTGTGTGTACACCGAGCTCTAGTGAAATGTTATTCTAAGAGATACCTAATGAACTGTGATGTTTATTAGAACTGCTGTTTATATACTGCTAATATGTTTGAATTAAGCAACTTTTATAATTTTTCACTGGTTTTTATGATAATTAAGAATTAAATGAGGTTGAAATATATTAATATTATGTTTTTTGCATAGTTGATGTTGCAAGTCAGTTTAAAGTAAATTAATCTACTGCTTATGGTATTAGTGAATTTAACTGAATAATTATTGTTATCACGTAAGGTTAATTTAATGTCCTATTTTTTTTCAGAAATTCGTTGTTGCGCCTCAGCTCTGTCTATTAAAGTTCTAACTACAGATTTTTCATTATTTATGTGATCATATAAGACAAAGCTTAAGCATTTATCACTCTTACTAGTTTTACGATGAGCTTTAGTCTTACAAAAATTATCAGAGTTAATTATTTAGACATCCAGAAAAGGAAGCGAGTTATTTTCTCTTTGAACTTTTGACTTGATTTTTGAAGTAAGAACTGACATGAATGGCAAAGATATCATGGAAATGATTTAAAAACCCTTGGAAACAGGCCTGGATTCGTGTTTTAGGCCGCATGTTGATATTGTTTCATGACAGTTTCACAATTATAAGGGAAATTAGATTGCTGACGAGTGCCTTTTTGGTTTGTTTGAAAACTGGCTGTTGAAGGAGAAATAATTGGCCTCTAGCATGCAAAACGTTGTTAGCTTTATATGGTAAAATTATATGAGAGATTAGTACTTTGTTTAGGCAAATTATCTTGGAAGAAGTTTATTTTAGTTTAGATTTTGATAATAATGTCAACAGGAATGCTGCTAAACAGGTATTTAACATCGTAACTAGCCATGATGTTTCTTTCGGCCTGCTTAATGTGTTTCAGTTCATTGTCTAACACGTAAAAAGTTTTGGTTTATGGCGGATTTGTTCGAATTAAAGGTCTGAGCAGTTTCGCAGTCAGTTTCAGGACCTCCGCGAAAGAGCCGGTAGTAGTATTTGACAATGGATGTGAGGAAATGATAAGGTTTAAGTATTTTAGGTAAACAATAAAACTGAGGTACTGGGTGATAACAACTAAATTTTGGTGTTTCTGTAAAGCTGAACAAATTTATATCTTGTAAGTCATTTTGGACACACCTTGTAGAAATGTTCGAAGTTTATCTGCAAGGAATGAACTAAGATCGGTATGTAGTGAGAAACAGGTGTTGGGCACGTCGTGACATATGTTGACATGGTTCACATCAATTTGCTCGTGCACATTTGTTGGCTGCGCAGTTGATCGTCTGTACAGTTCCTACACCTGTCACGTTTTATGGGTACGATAGTTGATCCAGGCCACAGTTGGCATAGTAGCTGCAGTAATTTGAATGGATGGTCGTCAAGAAATGTCTCTGCAGCTGATTCGAAGTACGAAAGGGAAGCCTAAGTTACCCACCTTGCTCACTTATGTGTCAGAGGCAAAGGGACAGACGAGAAGATGGTGAGGAAGTGCGAACTCAGCCGGAAGAACAAATGTAGTGCCAGATTGCACGCATCGGATGTGAGCGTCATTTCTAGGTCGGGAAACGCAATCACGCTGCAGATTCCGCAAAGGCAGGAGTAGGGAGAGTTATCGAAGAACTGAAGGAGCGCGCCGTAACGTCTCAGGATTCTACCTGTGAGATTGTGACCTTAGCTTCTGTAGAGTTGCCACAAGCAGTAGCTGGAAAATTGCCATCCATCCATAGCATAAAGCTGACAGTCAGGCGCAAACGAGTAGATTCGCGCATCGGGCTACCAAGTCTGGCCACTAAACGGCTTGTTACTGTTGATAAGCTATAGACAGACGTTTGGCTACGAGGATTTCCTGATGCATGTCAGCGGACCTGGTAACGATCGTCTGTTAATTTTTCTTTCTACTAGAAATAATTTGTGACTGTTGTCGCAGTCACCGAACTGGTATGCCGATGAAACTTTTATAACAGTTCCTCAATTTTTCAGTAATTGTACACAATCCACGGAATACAGCGCTCCGTCGTCATACAATCGGTATTTGCTTTACTGCCGGATAAATCAGAGTCTAGTTATTTTCGAATGTTGAACGCCTTAACACACCTGAAACCAAGTTTGGCACCTCAGTCAGTACTGACTGATTTCCAGCATGTGGCCATTAAAGCTTTTCAAAGAAGCTTTCCAAATGTCCTGCGTCGCAAGTGCTTTTTTCATCTTGGCCAATACTGCCATCGAAGCATTCAGGCGAAAGGTCTCCGGCAAAGACACTCAACGGATGCTGCATTCGCCTTAAAAATCGGAATGCTCTCTGCATTATCCTGCGTACCAGTGTAGTACGCATAGCGAGCATTTAGGGTCGCTTCAGAAATTAGCGATTACCCGATCGAAACTCAAGAGTTTAAAGACTACTTCGAAAATACTTGGATTGGCCGTCCAGATCGACTTCTGGCACGAAGGCAACCGCGCTTCGCTCTGACAGTTTGGAATTGGTTTGACATTATCCATTGGAGCCTGCCAAAAACGAATAATGCTGTAGAGGGATGGCATCGAGTTTCCGTTCGTTACTGACTCGTATTATCCATCCATATGGAAGTTCATTGTTGATTTGCAAAAAGGAGCAGAACCTGAACGAAACTAAGATCGAACAGTTCTTTGCAGGCCAGCCGCAACCACTAGAAAAGAACAAATACGCTGATTCATCTTAGCGTATTGTCAGGACGGTTGGTTCATATTCTGGTAGATACTTCGAAGAATGCGAAAATGCTAACGCTAATATACAACTTCCCGACTGTTTGAGAGGCGTTGCAGACAATTTTAATTGTTAATTTTTAATATTTCCACGTGTTGTATCATTCAGAAATTTTACGTTGTATCGTATTGAATGTGCTTGTGTAATTGTGCATGAAACAATTTGCGAAATAAACACTTAATGCAGCTATCATGAGTTGTATCCTATTTCACGACTGTGGAAGCGAAGGTGAATCAACTGCCCGAGGTGAGCCGAGGCAAGAGTCATCGAACTACTGTACAGACAATTAGCTCTGCAGTGGCCAAATGTGCGCGAACATATTAGTGCGTGCCACATTGGTATATGCAATTTATGCATAACCACCTAGCATTGCCTTTATCTGCTTTCTTTACTAAGAAATTGTTGTTGACTTAAAAATTTTGATGACTTCAAACTCTGTTAAGTCGAGTTAGATTTAAGCGGTTTAGTTATTGTGATGACAGATTTAATGTGTATTAAAGGTTCTACTGAGTTATGAACTTTTAGTGGACTTCTATGAATTTCTGTGATGGGTATGGTTTCAAGTAAGGGTAATAAGATTTATTAGTATTGCTAAAGTTTAAGCCTTTGACTAAAACAGGTATTTTGTCCCTTGAGAGTTTAACCTTGATTAAGTTTGTTACACGTGGAGAGTATTGGGGCGGAGTAAAACGAAAGTCTCAGTTTCTGTAAGATGAAGATGGTTTAGTTTTTTAGCGTGGACCGCACCGTCTTGAGCAAAGAAATTTTAGTCCTGGTGGCGGAGGTGATATTTTTGGTTGTCGTAGTTTTCGGTGGAGATGTCCTTTGCACAGCCTCTTGTATACAGTTAGTTTCATAGAAGACAATCTGCAGCTGCTTCTTTGTTTAGCAGCCTTCGTTCCATCTTCCTAAGTGTTACGGCATTCTTTGTCGGAGGTCGGAAAGGCATCTTTATCCGGACGAAGTTGGGGGTCACGTCGAAATCTCAGCATCTGATAAGAAAGATTAGGTCTTTCTTGTGTTTAAAGTGCCGTCGCAGTTCTTAATTCAGTTGCCCGAATGGTGAGAACGTCAGCGAATTTCTGTAATCATTATATCTCCTTTTCAACGTATTATCTTACGTTATCTTACCTTATCGTAGCAAGGTACCACATTCGAGTCAGGTGCTTTCACATTCCTCAACCTTTGGTCCAGAATTCGGTTACATATGACATTTCCACATCATTTTTTGTCATATCACGTCTTTTCTTTGATCTTCCCATTCTTCTATTCGTAGATCTCCAGACAGGTTTGATAGAAGAACTTTAAATACAACGCAGTTTTGAGTTTTGCAGATTATTTAGCTGGATACTGATGTGTAAACAAATCATGAAGCATGCTGCCGCTTCGAAATTTTGATCTTCCTTTGCGAAGTATCTTCTAATGGAAGATAACATTAGCATGATGGGGCGGAACATTCTTGAATAAAGTTTTACTGTTTGTTGAAGTTGAAAGCTGTACGATAGACTGAAATGCTAGTTATGAGATAGAACCGTGGGCTGATAAGCATATTTAAACAAAGCTTTTTTTTGAAGAGAATTTACTGTAACTCCGCCATGGCCGGTCCCAAGCCCGGATGAGAAAGGAGGAGGGTTGGAGACCGTGGCAAGTCT